ATACCAGCTTCAGATCTATCCTGAGAGTTGTTCTTTTGAGAACTTGCCATCCATCTCCTTTCTCCCATGCATGGAGGATGGTGAGCAGAGCTCCTTGATAGTTCTCTCAGCAGTTGCTACCTCCACAGTTGCTCCACAGATGGGCTCTGACTGTGTAGGAGGTCCAACTGAAAGATAGAGCTTCTCAGAAGAGCAATTAGCCTGCACAGAGCTCCGTATTTCCCTGCTGCTGGTTGACTAGCTAGCTAGCTCCTGGTTAGTTTAAAACCAGTTTACACATTTCTGCTTGACAACACAGAGCTCTACAGAAACTATGGTAAGATAAGGTGCACCTCGACCGCCTCCCTGAACACCTGCTCCATACTCTGGTTTCCATGAGGTGGAAATACAGGTTCTCAAGCCAGAAGGCAGTCAAGGTGCAGCACCCACAGTCTGTGAGAACCAAGGGAGAGCCATGGGGCCTTTAGCATTACCAGCACTAGTGTTAGTCCTCAGAGCAAAGAGTCTCAAGTTACTCCATCACTGATGTGCTAAGTTCTCTTCCTGCTTTGGAGCACGTGGAGAGGCAGCACTTGGTTTAAAGAAGCATTGCTAAGATTTTTGACCCACTCAAATAATTAATGTTGGGGATTTTTGTTGTTTTTGTTACCCCCTTGGCGGTAAGGTTTTTTTAACAACAAATCCACTCAAGAGTCCCAAAAAGTCATAACTGTGACTCCTATGGCATTCCTAAACCAAACTCTGTTTGTATATTCCTTCTAACACTCTTACTCAGAGTACTGAGGGCAGACTCATGTTTTTAGAATCTTTTGATACTGATCTTTGCAAGCTATTTAAACTAAAGAAGGAAAACATTTGCCCGACTGTCCTCCTTTTTTGTACAGGCAGCAAAAACTCTTGTTAAAAGAACTATTTTTCACAGGTGAAACAGTCCTTTGAAGTGTTTTGATTTAAAAAAAAAAAAAAAAAAAGTGGTTGGAGAGCTAGCAGGACCCATGTGCAATACATTTATGATCCATGCAATTGTGACACCCAGGACCGGTTATTGCAATTTTACCCAGCACTTCTGCCAGGTGCTTGAGGAAAAAAACCTCTAGCCAACAAAATGCCTTATTTCCTCAGCAAAATATGTCAAAATGAACAAGTCATCTTAATATTTTTCTCCTCTGCCTATGCAGGCTCCTTGTGCATAAATACTAGTTGCACGTGTTTACCTTCATATTCAAAGGTATATTAAGAAATTTCCTTTGTAGGCATAACCACTGACTCCATGAGAACTCTGTTTCTTGGAATGGTTGAATGGTGATTGGGGTGGGTTTGTGAATGTGAGACATGGTTGCTGTATTGCTTACGTCTCCCATTTTTGACTGTATTAAGAGAATCAGTCCTTTTGCTGCTCTGGCAATGTATGCTCTCAGAAACATTAAAAAGGCAATAGTAAGCACACTACTGTTAATCATCCCGAACCCACATCTGTAACCAGAGGTGTCACTCTGAGGTTGCTGTTGTCATCTCTGACTGCAGTCAAGGGTTGTTTTCTGTGCTCAAACCTTACAAAAAGGATGTTCCATAACTGCCAGAGTAACAGCAGCTTGTGATAGTTTAAGATGAAATTAATTCTTTAATTTCCATGAATTTGAGAGTCAATTGTATGCATCAGGTTCATGTAAACTAAGTGCCATTTTATCAATTTTAAAATATAAATATACAGATTGCAAGTTTGGTCTAGGCAGAAATATTTCCTTTCTCAGAAGCTAATAATGTATTCTATATTAGATACCACATTTTATTAGTGTGAGACGTGGCTGTTTAAGGATCAAGGCCAAACCCTACAATCATTGTTTCTTCTTATCAACATTCAGCTTTCAAAGGCAATTACAGCTTATGCATATTTTATAACAAGCATTTGAAGCATATACTGATTATGTAGGACTTGCTCAATAGCTTGTAATATGCAAGAATGCTTATGACAGAATATAGTATATATTGTGGGGGTCTTGCAGTATAAAAGGACCTTTTTTTCTTTTAATCGCTTACATAAACCAACCTTATCTGTTTGGTATCCCAGCTATATCTTGTTTGTTTCAAGTATTGTAGGTGAAAAGAAAGGCAAAATATTTCTGTCTCTCTTATCTGCATGTTGGCACTGCGTCAGTATGTGAAAACAGAAGTGCTGCAGCAGAGGAACTGCAATGCTGAGTTAGATCTGCAGTCCCTTCATTATTCAAACATGTAGTCTGTGTCTGTTAATGATCAGTTCCAGATATCTAAGAGAGCTGCTCAAGAACCCTTAGAGAAAGGAAATTTTCTGTTTAATCTTGACCTTTAACAGCAGCTAGCAGATAGTTTTTGCTTTGGAACACAATATTTGCATCTTCTAAATTGGCATATTCCTATCTAATTTAGCCAATCTAATTCTGATTTTTGTTATCCATATAAGCAGATTTTTATTTTCAGCAGCACTCAGGATGTCCACATCCCTCCCCCTCTCTTCCAATAAATAGTGGGCATGGAAATGTGTCTACAAGGCCTTCCAGGTGATACAGAACATCAGAAAATCTGATTGTATGTTGAGGTCTTCCCTGTTACTCCTTACCAATGCCTCAATATGAAAAACGAGGGCTGGATGGCACAGAATAATCTGCTCCAAACATACTTCAGCCAAGGATTTTCCTGTAAGAGAATCCACAGCTGCCCCTTTAAGGCTTCTTTCCATCTTCTTCATGCTGTTTCAGCAATGTTCAACAGAAAGAACGGGAGCCAAGAACTTGGATCAAAATGTGTAATCATGTTTTGAATTCTACTACGTTTTTGGCTTTGGTAGTAGCTCATGGCTATGGGTTGGTTCCACAGCTTAATCACAGAATTCACTGTCAAAGTTAATGTGAAGACCGATAATTTAATGAGATTCCAGCCAAGCCCGGGAAGTCGGTGATTTGGGGCAAGATTTTATTGAAGAAGTAATAGTTTTTCAGGCAAAGCTTTTCAAGGCTTTCATTTCTCTTTATCCAAATCCAGTTTTATCATTCTACTTTTCTTTGTATTAAACCAGCTTAATATTAAAATGATGGTTTTTGAACTGGAGAAGCTCTTAATAGAAGTTAAGGTGGTCTTGGTTCAAAATGGCATTTTGCCTGTTCTTTTGCACTTCTTTAGCCCTACTCTTAGGGATGAGGATAAAATCTACATCTCAGAGGACAATGACCAAGTTTGGAGGGACTTTCATATAAATTAAATTTTGGAAATTTTCCATCAGAGCTACACATGAATGACTGAAATGATACAGGTAGGAAAATGAAGCTATTCAGTTGAACACCTATGTGTTCATATGTATGTACACATAAACTTCATAAACCTCTATCTAGAAACATATGGCTTTCAAGTTTAGCTATTTGACAAAAAGTTTGTGGTAATATATTTCTGCTCATCATGTGTTCTGTGGGAGTTTTCCTACGCAGTATTTTAGAACTTCTAATGTTCACAGTTTGCTATGAAAGCGCTTCTGAAAAGTAAGAATGTGAGCAGCAAAATCCCCTGAATTCTATCTTAACTCCAAAGAAATCTGCAAAGACGCAGGCAACAGCTTCAGAATTTAGGCAGAAAATTTGTCTCTTCTGTTGGGTAACAATTTACTGTCCCTATCTTGAATGGAAACATCAGGGAGAAGATCAGTAATAAATACCAAGTTATTGTTTTATTTTGAACCTAGAACTTTTTATTTCTTTCATGCTGCACAGTAACTTTTTAGCTTTGTATTTGAGAGAATTGCTGTACTAGAAAACTTATTTTTCCCCTGCAGCAGTGATTCTGAAAGACAGGATTACTGTATCCCTGTTATGTTGCTGTTCTCATGAAACATCTGGTTAGCTTTGCAATGGGATTATAAGTTGTTCCTTTTTTTTCAAACCTGGATTTTGGCATAGAGATTGTGATTTAATCAACTTCTGTATGTCAAGAAACCTCTGATATTGTGCTGTGTTTGTTGCTTGCAGAGATCTATGAATGCAGTTGCAGCAGCTCAACTTTATCATGACAATACACAAGTCTGGTATGACACATTTTCAATATGCTTCAGAAACAACTTTTCTCATCTGAAATCCTCGTTGTGGAAAAATATGTATTTATATATTAATTTATTGTCAAAGGAGCAGACTTAGAAACTATCTAAATTAAAGCATAGCTTACAGTGTCTTCTGAATAACTGAATAACTTGGTTCAATGTTAGGTCACAGTGGAACACAGACTGTAACAGGAATACATAAAAGCTCTGAAGGGAGCAAAGAGACTTTATTCTGGAATGGTGAACATCGTTGCCAGAGTAACATAAACCTTGTGTGTTTTCACAAGGAAATGAGTCACTTGTTTCTGTTGGCCGGAACTCTGTTTTCTTTTAATTTCATATTTTAGCTGCCTAATATAGTTTGAAAGAACTCTAGGATTCCAGTCTTTGGGCTTAGATACCTTGTTAATTAAAGCCGAGCAGAAGGCTAGCATAGTAGTTATACAGTATCAGATAAAATTGATAGTAAATATGGCACACATCACATGTTGTGTGAAGGATGCTTTGATCCCTGTGTATTACAGTTCTGTGAACTATTTATGAAGTTATGAAAAGAAGATGCTTCTTACGTGTGTATGTGCATGTATATTTATATCTGTGGCTTGTGTTTTTTGCTAAACTGATTTGGAAGTTCGCTCAAGACAATTGAGAACCTCACAGTTTAAGGGCATAAGCTTTAGTCAAAATGCTCGTTACGCTCAATGAAGAGACTTTCTTTAACGTCAAAGGTGTTGGATCAGATCCATAGGAGCAGAGATGCATTTCTCCTGTTTGGATCAGCAGCTCAGAACCGCTGAGGAGCTTGCCCCATTTTCTCGTGCTAGGGCAGCACAGAACATCCTGGTCGGAAACCAGTCGGTCCTTGCTGAGGTGTCCCCGCAAGATGCGAGATCAGCACGGCTCGTTCCGCAGCCACTTTCTATTTTCTTCTTTCTTACAGCTCCAAGGTATGGAGATGGTGCCAAGCAAAATAAGTAACACAGACGGCTCGAGCAGTTCTCAGCTACGGTGGAGTCTCTGAAGGAACATAGCTGGCTGGTGCAACATAGGCTACTTTATCCTGCATATAGTTTGGGCAGAAGCTCCATATAGCTCCATTCACTGCTGCAGCCTTAAAAGGAAGTAGCAGAAAATGAGAGCCAAATAAATCCATCTGAGAATTAAAGTATATATTATGAACTTTTTTGGTGGCGTAAATCTGTATGCACAAATGCTGCACACCTGTATATCTATATGTGATATTTTAGATATTTTAAGGTTTTTAAAATTAATGTTATGTATTTCTATATATCATAAGCACTAGCAGTGAAATTTCTTACTCCCATGGATAATGATTATTCAAAAAACAATGTTTAACATGTAGACAGAAATGCTGGAAAACAATGAAGATATGCTTAATCTATCCTACTCAAGGATAATAACAATTTGCATTTTTATTCAACATCCTCTGAGGATCTTGAAAACAATGTTTATTAAATAAATATTAAGGTATCTTTTTTTCCAGCCTAAATTCATAAACAGATATTTTAAAATAACTTTGCTGAGGAGCAAATGACAAATAGAGAGACTAATTGAATTTCAAAGGTCATCTGCTCTGTTTGACTCAGAAAGGAAAAAAAAACCCAGAACCATTACTGGCATTAACAGTCCAGAGACAGGTAAATAGTTAAGACTTTCTGTTAAAAATATTAAAAAAAAAGGGGGGGGGGGACAGCAGATGATATGCACTGCAGATGATATCCACTGATATCCAATTAATACTGCAGTATTAAGTTTCCTGTTTAATTAGAAATTCACTATACAGAAAAAACATTTCTCCCTTATGCAAAGAAGAAATCATTTCCTTCCTGTCCAATATGTGCTTTAACATGTGAAAACAAGGCTGCATATGAGCTCAAGGAATAGACACCTTGCATACAAGTCATCCCTTGTTGCAGTTTGGTCTACTCTGACACGGTGTTATCGCAGAAGAATGTAGTTTTTCAAAAGCAACATTAACATGCGGGTGATTATTACAATTATTGATTTCATTGTATGTTACAATAAAGGTCTCTGCACTTGTCTTGGTGACCTATTTGCTCTGTTTATCTGAAAACTGAGAGCTGAATGTGTTAGGTAGTGTTTGAAAATCTTAAAATGTCTCTACCATAAATTTTAACCAGGGTTTTTATTCTTTTTTGTCCCATTTTCTTCTGCTCAGATAAGTGGAGGAGCAGTGAGAAGCACATAACAAATACCACATAATATTGCCATATAATATCACTAATCTTTTGAGTGTTGTTGTTCTGTCAATGATGTATGCCCTGCGTTTTTCTTCTGTGTCTTCTATTCACAGCTGTCTCACATTTGTGGTGAATTTTGTACCGTGTTTGAGGAACATTACTTCTGTGGAAGTCGATGTAAGTATGAAACCTGTTCTTATGGATTCAATATGGTCAAATATTTCCTTTGCAATTTCAAGCCCACAGCCCTGAAGGTCCTTTGGGACCTAGCTCAGTCCTGAATTCAGCAAAAATTCAGTGCATTGTTTATTTTGCCAGGTGGGTTGTCAGATATTGGAAATATTTAACAAAAAGGAAGTAGAACTGGTACTGTTATCAATAGTTGTGTTTAGGATCAAATGCTGTTTGGAAGTCAAAATTCCTAACTGAAAAAATCCAAAGAAAGAAATTAGAGACTCACCCTTTAAACCACCAGTGATACTGAGGTTCTTACCTCAAGTCATAGCTGTCCAACCTACTATATATTCTATTGCTCCATGCTTATATAAGTGGTGAGTCATAGGCATAGACAGGAGAAATCTGAGAAATTATTACCTGTTTCTGGTGAGGTTTCATCCTTCAGCACAATATTAAATTGGAGGATTGTGGAGATTTAAGGATTTTTTTTAAATCTGTATGGTCTTTTTAAAATTTTATTTTAGTAAGAGTAGTTCTAAAAGAAGAAGATAACTCACAATAACACTTATTGGTTTTCTAACTTGGAAAAATACATTAAGAAATCAACAGAACTTCAGACTGGTACCTATGCAAAGCATCACGTTATCTGAAAGCATTTGGCAGAACATGCTATATTAAAATTCTGTGGAGCTGCTTACAATCATTTGCATGCCTGCATTTATTAATCTAATTCATTTGCATTATCATAATACCTCAGCAATACAGCCACAGACTCTCCTCTTGATAATTGTATTTTATTTTATTGTATTCACACTGTAATAATCAGAGAGTTATTCACAGAACAGCATTATCTGCTCCAGAAAGCTCATAATGCAAAGGAGCAGGTGAGACAAATTTAGAAAAGTGGAAGAGAAAACTATTGTAATCAAGATGCCAGAGGCTTCAGCATGTTTCTGATTTTGCAGGATAAGGTTTAGATCAAGCAGATCTTGTGCTAGTTCTGGAAATGCAGAATATGAAGGCTGATCAACTTCCTTCTTTGGGAATTGAATTTGGGAGCGCTCAGGTTTTTTCTCATTCTGCTCTCACTCGTATGTTTTATGGGATTCCGCTTCTTCAGAAGGGTGTTGTTATGGTTTTCCTAGTATCAGCTTATAAATCTTCAAGCTCAGAGCTGATGTTGCAAGCTGGTCCCTGAAAAACATTGGCAGCTTTGAAATATTCCATAGAATGAAAGTCTGAGGGCTGAGTAGCCCTGCAAAATAAATTGCTAAAACCTTGCCAACATTTAGAGCAACATTTTGCCAGCTTCTTCTACTCCTACTAGCAACTTGAGTTTACACTACAATAGCTTATGTCTAGTCTATACTGGGAATTAGCCTTTGTTCCAGCTAGCAGTGCAGCCACAGCAGATGATGCCAACATGCAAAATCATACTTACCCTTACTAGAAGCCTGAGTAAACTCTTCAAGTGAAAACTGTGTTTTGAATCACCTAATCTTGGAGTTTGCAATGATGTAATTATCCAACTGGTAGATAGCTGGGAAATCTATGGCCTTGAGCAGAGCAGTTTTTAGAGAGTTTCAATTTCTCACAGGATCAAAGTGTTTAGTTTTTGCTTCCAACTCATATTTTACCATGACTGATGCAAAAATAGGAAGGTGCGGCTTCCAGAAGTGGTCTGGACTAGATATATTGTCAAAAAATTAAAGGAAGATTCAAATATATTCCATGTAACCAGTTGCTCTAGATAAAATATGTTTCCTTTATATCCATGTGTTACTTCTACATATAGCTAAGCTATTATTCTAAATCATCCTACAGGCTCTTATGTGTTTGCAGAATATGTTTTTATGATGATTACTCTTTCATGAGAATGAATGATAACTTGAAAGAAAGGAAAGATGTGTTAAATTAACCCGAATCTCCTTTCCGGAGATAACATTTTAGTAGTTGTGCAGGTGGCATCTATCACACTTATGTGTTCGGAGAAAATCTGCAGTTTGGTCAGATGCCAATGGCCTATATTTGGTATATTGTCTCTTCTATATGATTCCATGTATATTTGTTGGGTAAAAAAAAAAAAAAAATCAGCTGATTAGCAAGTATAAAATAAAAGATGTTTCTGCTAATTAATTCAGCTGATAAAACCATCATATCATGTTTTGAATATTAGCTTCAGTCTTGGATTGAAGAAGAGTGTTCCCACTTTTAGGGAGCATGACCGAATTTTCAAGATCCCAAAGAGATTTAGAGTTTTTCTCTGTCCCCCCTGCCCGCCCAAGTGACCTCAGCTGCAGGTTATCGAGAAAAAGTGAAGCAGAGTATCAGGAGAAAGCAATCTATTTGAGAATGGTATAGACTACATAGCTAATAAGTTTGCTCAATAGGAATTGAGGTCAGGAAAAAGGTCAGAAACTTAAGTATTAGTGAATAGTGGCTTTACTGGTCATGTTAAGAAAGCTGAACAATAAGAACTAGTAGCTGATATCCTGCTTAAGGCTTCCAAGCAAAACTGGTAGCTCATGGCATACATAGGAAGCAGCTTTTCCAAATGACCTGTGGTATGTATTTTGGGTTCATATGAAGAGAAAAAAAGTTTATTTTACAAACTGCTGTATTTTAAATATAAGTGAGAAGCAACTTCTAACTTCATGTCTCTGAAGGAGCTGCATAGGTGTGTGTTATTGGAATGCCTCCTTTTATCCCTCAAGGAGGAAGTGCTAAGGAGACTAGGTAGCTCTGGTAGCACTTCTGCCTCGTAACTTCAGGAAGTGTTGGAGTGTCAGCAATGCTGTGCTAATTAACACTGAGCTTTGCCACGAACCGGGAGGCTCAGGATGCCACCAGACAAGCCCTGGGGCTTCGTACAGGGAGGAACGTTTGCAGAGGCTACCAGCCCCAGCAACATCCTTTATTGCTCTGCTGGAGAAATGCTCCCTACTGCAGCAAAGAAGGCAAAAGCAGGTATATGTTTTATACCCAGCACATAGATCTTCCTCTGCACTTGCTCTTTAGCATGTTATTTTAAACTCAACCCCCTGGTAATTAATATTGCCGCTGGTGAGCTGTGGGGATGAAGATGCAGCAGATGTTTATTACTGAGTGCAGCTTGGCCGCTAACCCCAGGCAAGGGAGATGGGAGGAAGGCAGGCAGACTGCCGGGCCGCGCCACGCTGGGGTCTGCTATCGGCCCGAGGGATCTCCAGAGCTCTCTGAAAGGCTCTTTTGTAGCGCTGCTAGCAGCAGCACTGCCACTTTGGGAAGTAAGATATAAATCAACGGAGCAATTTCTAATCAGGGTTTCTGTAAGTATAGCCGTTCATTTCAGGGTAGCTTATCTGGCCCTGCATCAGCTTAACAGAGTTCATTTACTATGCTTGTTCTTCACGGAGTGTATTTCGAAATTTATTGTAAAGTACAATTTTAATAGCTTGTAGCTTTTAGAATACATTTTATTTTGTATATTTATGTAATGTCTCATTTCAGCATTATGGACTTCCCTGGGAAAAGCCAAATCACAAAAATCAAAGGAGATATTTAATAACTTTTTTGATATGAGTCCTGATGAGAAATATTATTTATTCCCCAAATAAAGAAAGCTTTCTTTGTTCGCCTGTTAGCATTCCAAAAACTGCATTTACATGAGAGATTATGTCATTAAAAATGTATGCAAGATCATGTATGCTCCAGCAATGTGAATT